TATAGAAGGAAGTAGCTATTCTATTATAGATTAGTTTTATATTATACTAATCTAATATTTATATATCTTATAAAAAGCTATCCTCGGAGAGAAGTAAGATATAGTTTATATTTTTATTAGTATAAGAAAAGTTACCTAGTACTTAGTAAAACTAAGGAAAAGTGTAGAAGGTAAAATTTGGGATAAAGCGTAATAAAGACTAGATAACTTAATAATATATAAAAAGTATATATTTTACTTAAAGAACTTAAAACTATAGAGGGGATTTCTAACTACATATAAACTTTAGAATAAGTTATTAGTAAGCTTTAAAGCTAAACTATTAACCTATAGTATAATTGCCGATATCTTGAGGGATTTAATTAACCTATAGTATAACTACCGATATCTTTAGATATCTAACTAGCCTATAGTATAAGTGCCGATATCTATACTATATAAAGTAGCCTATTAGATTAAATAGCGCTACACACACCTATATGCCGGTTAAATTACTAAGGCTTACTACATTATTATTCTTATCTCTAACGAATAGAAATAATAAGAATACGTAGACTTAGTTTAAACTATAGTACTACTAAGCCTTAACCTAATTAAGTATAGAAAGAGAATAATATAAGTATTTATTACTATATATTATATATAAAATTAATATATAATCTAGGCTATAAAAGGTTTAGGTATAGTATACCCTAGTTCGCTTAGATATATACTAGCGGATTATATAGTACTAGTATATTTATCTATATTTTTATAAGAGCTATATTTAGCCTCTATTAATTAATTTAAATAGCGGCCTATTAGCTTAAAACTACTATCGCCGTAAGTATTATTAATAGCTTACTATAAGCTACTAGCGGTAGTTTTATCCTTAAAGCGTTCTATATTATCTATAGATATAATAGACTTTATAGCGCCTATAGCCTTATTATTATTACGAATAAAGTTACTTATTCTTTTTTCGTATTTAACCCCTAGTTCTAGGGTTCTAGGCTCGTTATTGTCGTTATAATATAAAAATTTATTAGGACAAACTATAGTTTCGTCTATATACGATATAAAACTATTTATTTCTAAATATAGCTTAGCTTTGTTAAGCTATTCTATATAATTAGATTTGCCTATTAGCTTTTGTCCCTTAAAAGAAGATATCTTTACTTAATAGGTCTTAAATAACTTAAGTTTTTACTTAAAAAGTTAAGTTTTACTTAAGGTAACCTTAGGGATTTTCTAAGGGATTTTTCTAAGAGATTTATACTTAAGCTAAAGCTTAAGTTCTTCTTAGATATCTTAAGTTAATAACTTAAGTTCTACTACTATAGTTTTAAGTTTTTTAATACTTAAATTAGCTTTTACTTAAGTTATACTTTATAACTTAAGTTCTAAATCTTAGATTTAGTTAAGTAGTAGTTATTTAGTTTAGAATAAGTATTTTATCTAAACTAATTATTTTAAGTATTTTTAGTATTTAAGAATAACTTATATACTATATCTTATAAGATTATAGTATTTATACCTAATAGCTTATATTAAGTCTATATAGGTTTTCTTAACTATCCTTTTACCTTAATTACTTTAGATAAGTATTTTAAGGTCTTTTCGTAGTATTTTACTACTTATTACTTTTCCTTAGTTTTACTAAGTACTAGGTAACTTTTCTTATACTAATAAAAATATAAACTATATCTTACTTCTCTCCGAGGATAGCTTTTTATAAGATATATAAATATTAGATTAGTATAATATAAAACTAATCTATAATAGAATAGCTACTTCCTTCTATATTTATATATATTACTCTATTAGTAATATATATAGTATATATAGGCTTAGGTACCTTAGTTTAAGAAGATAATTATAATACCCGCTATAGGTCGCGTAATCGCTTCTTATAATCGCAAGTATCTTAAGCTTATTCCCTCGCTTAAGGCTTGTCTTAGGGACGTAGGTCTTAGGTTCTACTATAATAGTTTATATATATAATATATAATTATATAAATTAGTCGAATCGAGTATATCGAGTTTATA